AACAAGATCCAGACAGTAATATTATAGCAGGTGGAACCTATAATGATTCAAAAGGTTATTTCATTCAACCAACAGTAATAGTCACCAAAAATCCAAAAAGTCGAACTATAGCTGAAGAAATTTTTGGGTATTTATTTATTCAGTCAAGTATTATTACCATTGATTACTTTTTATTAGTTTATACGTTAACAATAAAATTTTTTATTTTTTGGGAAAAAAAAGGCCTGTGCTTACAATTTACGTGTAAGTAGTATTCAAGATAAGATTTCAGATTTTTTCTCTTCTATTCTGATTCTTTCTAATCCTTTAACTCTTAAAATATTTTTATAGATATAAATCAGATGAATTTGAAAAGACACTTGATTTGGCAAATGAAACATCCGGTTATGCATTAACAGGAGCAATGTAAAAAAAATTCTCATTACAATAAATACATCATTAAAAAAAAATATCAAATATTAATTTATTTATTTCTCCATAAACATTTTAATTAGTTTTGCACAAGATCGTTCAGTAATTGTGAAGGCAGAAAACAAATTACGATACGCATCTGGTAATTTCTATATTAATGATAAATCTACTGGTGCAATAGTAGGTCAACAACCTTTTGGTGGTGCACGTGCATCTGGAACAAATGATAAAGCCGGAAGTCATACTTTGGTATTTAGTTTTTGGGTGTAATTGTGATTTTTATTTCATAAATATATATATATATATATATTATAATTAACTTTTTTCTTTTGTTTTTGCGAAAAATATAGTTGTATCGATTTCTTTCAATGCGTACTATCAAAGAAAATTTCATCAATATTGAAGATTTTACTTACCCATCAAATCTTACTTGATTAAAACAACCTTTTTTTTAGATATAATTCATAATATTAATTTATTAATGTATTAGAAAATACTTTTTATTAAATATATAATTCATTATAATATTAATTTATTAAATGTATTAAAATAATTTATTAAATAATAATAATAAATTTTATTTTATTTTATTTTCCGATAAAAAAGGAGCAACTGCAGCAAACCCACAATCACTAAAAATTATGCGCTCGAGATACCCGTAATATTGTAACAGGGCAGCTGAAAATAGCCATAGAAGAGGGAGGAATGGGGTAATTGAACCTGATATTTTATTTAACCTGGTTAATAGCATGCCAAAACATGTTAAAATGGTAGTTGAACAAACTATTAATTAATTAAAGAAGTCGCCTTTGCATGACTGTTTTTTAATTCCAAGTATTTTGAGTTTGCAGAGCCCACTTGATCTACAATAGAACAAAAAAGTATTCGCGATATTTGTTATAAACGTCTTTTAATTTGACAAATTTGTCACAATTTTTAATTATTCACTTTATTTAATGGAGACATAAAAAATTAATTTTGATATTTAGTATGCCAATCTTTTGTTTATTATTAAATCACCCTCCACGCATCAACGACACCTTATCGATACCTCAAAGGTCTAAGCGCCAAAAATCAACTCCAACATTAAAAATGAATTCGAATTCTGACGCATTATTGGGAAATGGCCTACGTTAACTGTTATGCATTTGCATAATAATAATTTGATTTTTGACGCACAAATATGAAGTTTTATTGATTAAAAATTTTCTTGGATTCTTCATGATCAAAAAATGTCGATTATTACAATTTTCAAATGTACTATTACTATTACTATTAATTCGTTTAATTCGTTTAACAAGAGTCATGAGCTATTCATTACCTAGTAGAGATTTGATTGCTGATTCAATTAAAACAATAAGTAAACAAAATGATGATTATGATGATGATACAATATAACGGCATTTAAGCAACAATTTATGTAATAATATTTATTTATAAGGTAATGAGTGGTCAATGGTACGATGCTAATATATCATTGCCAGGATGTGACAAAAATATGCCAGGTTGTTTAATGGCAATTTGGTAGGATTAACAGGCCTTCTTCGTTAATGGTTTATGGTGAAACGATCAAACCAGGTCAAAGTACTTGTGTATTGGGTAAATTGGATATCGTATCAGCGTTTCAAGCATATGGCAGTTATATTTCTGACAAGATTACTGAAGAAGAAAGATTTGACATTATAAGAAATTCTTGTCCTGGTCCCGGTGCATGTGGTGGAATGTATACTGCAAATACAAGTATGCAAGCTATTGTTTTTTTTATGCAAAAAACAGAAACGTGATATTTTCGCGATTTTCTCAAAATCCTGATTCTCGGAGCCCTTGTGACTAATTGCATATAGGGTGCTACTGACTCAAGATCGGAATTATATACACATATATAATAAAATATTTACCTGTTAATAATACATGTGATTAATAGTGGCATCAACAATAGAAGCGATGGGAATGACTATCTTGAAATAAAAAATATTTTTAATTCATTTGTTCGTAAAAAAATTTTTAAATTTTCTGAATTTTACAGATGGCAACAACTATGGAAGGAATTGAAAATGATAAAAATATTACATTTAAAGAGTACGAAGAGGCTAAGAAGAAATTGGAGAAGTGGGAAGAAGAAAATGGAAAGAAGCTGAACAAGTTAGAAGATGAGTTGATGGAGGGGAAGTGGAATGGTGAAGAGAAGACGAGGCGGGAAGAGCGAAGGGACGAATTGAAAAAAGAAAAATGGGATCTGAAGAAGAGGAGAGATAATTGGGAGGAGTTGTACCAAGGAGAATTACGTGGAGGGAAAGGTAATGAACAAATTGCGTAAAAAAAATATAAAAAAAATTTTTTTCGTTCATTCCATTTCGTTTATTTATTTATTCATTTGTGTGAGCATTTTATATACTGTTTATGACTTTAATTAGGTGGTAAACGGTCACTTGAAGAAAAGGAAGAACAAGAAATAAAAAGAATGAAGTCTTATGGTAAGCCTCAGTAATAATACATCCATTTTATCAATGAATGCTATGTGTTTTGTTTTAATTAATATTGGGTGTGAATTCTTTGCTATCCAACAATGACAGTATCAAAAAAAAGAAAAATATCGTTTAATAAACCATTAGATTGGGATTCTGGTATTTGTTATGTCGAGCATAAGGACCTTACTGATCTCTTTAAGGTACATTTACAAGGTGTGAACATAATGCCAATAAATTAGAAAATATATATTAATATGTTTATAAACATAGGGCATTTCTACAGTGAAAGCTGGTCAAAAGACAACATCAAACCAAAAAATACGTGTTGGATATTTAGTAGAATGTTTTTGGAAAGCTGTAGACAGGATTGATGGCTTGCAAAAATCAAACTTGTACTATTGTGGTGAGAAGACAATAAGGCTAAGGGCTAGAGAGGGACTAATTTCAGAATATTTGAATTTCATTAATGTTATCATTGTACAAGATCATGATAGTAACAGATGCCACCGGCTCCTTCCAGGGCTTCGGGCAATTGGCAAGACTTTTCTGCTCAGAAAAATGACTTTATGTACTAGCTATTTATTTCCAGATACCATGGTAATTTATGTCGATTTCAGTACAAATCAAGTTTTACTTTCATCGTTATTATGTGCAGCATTGGACAGAAGGGGAGTTGATGTTAGTGATGTTGAAGAGTTTGAACTAGGACCTGCTCTGCTCAAAGCTCGTCAGAATGGAATATACCCAATTATCCTTGCAGATGAAGTACATACCCTTTATGTTAAGAAAGACAATACAGATTTTGTTAGAAATCAAACCATTATAAGACAAATCAAAAATTTTACTAATTACTCACAAGGAATGCTGTGGGCAGCAGGTTCTTCAGAACGATTAGTGGACTATGCTTATGGTTATGAGTTTGTACATTACGAGATTTCTCTTAATGACAGCAAAATGCCTTGTAGTCGATATTTAACAATCAGTGATCGTGATGAATTTGAACAAGTTCTTAGAGAATATGGAAATGATAATTTTCAAGGAATGGAATTGGTGGATGCTTTTAAATGCACTGGAGGGATACTCGGACAGATAATCAATGGTATCAAGGAACAAGGAAAAGAATTGCACCCCAACACTATTGAGGGTTTGATATTGGTAGCACTATATGATGTCAATAATGTTGGTGAATTCAATCCATTTAAAATGGTCTCACTTTCACGATCACATATCCTCAACTATGTACCAGAAGACTTACAGCAGTCAGTACAGTTGAGAAAACTTGCTGATAAAGGTTTTCTTCGTGAGACAAACACCAATCATTACACCTTCCTTTACCCAATTCACTTTGACATTATCAAAGAATCAAAAGACACCCTGTCATTCAAGGAAAGAGTTGCATTATATTTTCCAGAAGGACAGAATATAGCTGAGGTTTATGAAAAATTCAGAGCAGAAGCTGTAGCTGAACTAACAGCACAAATCATAATCAGTTCATATGATTTCCAGTTTGATTGGGCAAAGGCAAGTGCATATCTTTATAAAACAAGGGAGAAATCTGTTATCAAATTGATTCCAGATGTTTTGGGTTGGGGTAAGTGACTAGTGAATTTTTCCAAAAAAAAAAAAAAAAAAGGTGAACTGACTGGTTGAGAATTTTGTTAGATATCGCCTATTGGATTTGTTATGCTGAAAAGAAGATGGTTGAACTTTATTTGGAACAAGTAAAGGTTGGCTATGCTGAAAATTATCTCACAGAAACAGAAGTTGATATTACATTAACCAATCGATATGAAGATCTAGTTAAACAATTATCAGAGATATATGCTGATTGTTCAGTGAAAGTTGAAAAGGTATTGTTCTGTTCGAGAAGAATCTCTGAAAACCTTGAGCAAAAATTAATTGGTGCAAATATTAGGATAATTTACGCACGAGAATATCCTCACCTTGGGAGAAGAGTGGGTTCTTATATAAATCTTACAGGACATTGTCTCTTCACTAAAGTTCATAAAAGAATGTGATGTAGAATAAATTATTTTTCAAATCAATATTGTGAACCTTTTTTAATACTTCTAAGTATAGTTAAAAATAAAATATTAATGTAAGCTTTGAACTACTGTATGTGATAATACCAACTTGGCAAAAAATTAACTAATAAAACATAAGAGAAGTCATTTTTTCAAAAAATAATCATTTCAGACCATTTAAATGTGAATCATAGTTTTCTATACAAAAGGATTTATTTAGACGTCATCAATACTACTGATTGCTATTTTTGTTCAAAATGTCAGGGTTGAGCGAATCAGATACTTGACTGAAAGGAAATCGTGTTTTGCTTTAGATGTTTTTTTGCGCGGTGTCTACCGCTGTCTACCATTAGGTATTCGTCTTGCTTTGACGTTTCAGATCGTTTGAAATGACCAAAAACTTAGGCCTTGCCTTGGAGCCTTTACCTCAGATCCCATATCGTCAAAGACTTGTCACACAACGTTAGTGTTGGTTATGGTTTTTCTATTGAAAGACCCATTCATTAATAAATTTAGAAGACTTTAAAGAACAAATGAGCAAAATTTGAAATACTGTTATTAGGAAAATCCTGTCACTTTTCTAAATAGTGCCTTTTTGATTTTTACCATACTCTTTATAAATTGTTGATCATAAATAATGAAGATGTTAATAATAACCATAGTGATAATAGGGTAAAATATCGCGATCAAATTTCTTTAAAAATTTAATAAAAAAAAAAAGTCTGCTGCCGTAAGCAAGAAAAATAGAAAAGAAAAAGAAAATTCCTGAGAAGATGTCACCAGGTAAGTGTTTATCATAAGGATGGTGGTGGCTGTCGCCACTCGTCGTCACTCTAGTTTAATATTAATAATGATCTTTATTATTATTTATTTATCCCTTAAACCGTAACACCATTTTTGATAAAAATTGAAAGCCAAAAATCACTTCCTATCTAACCCAATGAAATTTTTATAATTTTTTTAAATTATGTAATTCACATTATGTACTATATTTATACTGTATGTATTTTTGTTTTCATTTAATAATAATGAACTTCTCGAAAAAATTAAAGAAAATTTTTACAACTTATAAAAATTTTTTATAGAATACAGTGAACTCAATGAAACTTACATTTTTATCACGAAATTCAGGACAAACTCACACATTTATATATGTGATTTGTTTTACCATTATCTAGAACTTTTTATCATATTTTATTGAATATAATTAATATTGTGCAACTAACATTATCCACCTGCAAATTTCAAATTAAAAGTTTACCATAAAAAATATCTAACACCTTTCTAAGTTTACAATATGTTAATTTATTTATTTTTTATAATAATTCGATTATTCCAAGACATTGCTGCCATTTAATTCACTCGACATATATATTCCTTTGCAGGTACCAGTTCACAAGTGTCTTCATCAATGTAACATATCTTATAGGTAATTTGTAATACCTTCTGTCAGGTCATCTCCCATATACTTCATACTACCATCCATTTCATTCCATTTAAGAGCAATGGCTATTATCATCCAACATCCAAACATCATACCCAGAATGGTCTGTAATTATAGGATGAATACCAGTGATGCCATAGGTTTCAGCAAAGTTTTCAATATGATCTGTATCCAACTGCAAAGAATCCTTATTCGTGACTTCATGATATCCGTAGCATTCATTTTTCAATTGGTCGAGAAGTTGATGTGGCACATTTTGCAATTCTGACAATGTGGTTTTGTTTTTCTTCTATGTACTTCTATAGTGAGAGTTTGGATTAGAGGTTTTGGTCTCAATTGAGGTAGATGCGTCTACAGATTGGTTTCCGCACAATTTCCATGTACCCATGTCTCCATGCTTGGCATCAATTCCTGATTCCGATAATGGGGAAAAGGGGGTAGAGGGAAAAGGCTCTAATCGTTCTCCTGTTGAATCCTGACTAAGTGAATTCTGTCTTTCTTCTTGCTTATTTTTGGCCAAGAGTTCATCGTATACAGGTAACATAACGTGTCCCACATTGTAGTTATGACCAGTGACTTGGTTATCATTGTTTCTGGTTCTCCATGGGTTAGATGATTTGATTGTTCCTGATGTAGATCAAAGAGTGAATATAAACGTCAATGATGGCTTTATTAAAAGAAAATCAAACCCTCTGAGATGTACCTGTATTGTAAAAGGGTGATTTTGTAAAGTTCTTGTTCCCCGCTTCTCTCCACCATTATCTCTATCTGTTCCCAAATCTAAATTGAAATTAGAGCTGTACTATTTTTGATTTAATAAAATTTATTTGAATCTACTAAAGCAAATAAACAAAGATTATTTATCAAAAAGAGTAACAAAGAAACTTTAAAGTGTATAAACATGATTGATTTTGAGATTGACACCAAAAAAATTTGCAACATTAAAAATCATTAAACTTTATACATTTAACAATATTATTTTTTTTTACAAACATGCAATTAAGTACTCTTAACACGTCTCATACCCACACAATTTTTTACACGGGTGAAGAACCTCATATTTGGTAGCGAGAGAGACTTTAACAGTCTCTTTGACCATGATGCAATTTCAATAAACTTGAGAGCCCATGAAACTTTAATCAAATTGGTGTGTCATTGGGGATTAGCGAGGACAACTATAGTTTAAAATATTGGCTATATCTTCCGCTACCTAATAAAAAAAATTTGCTTGTATCTTCCTTCAGCTGCCTAAAATGTTTCCAGATTGTTTAAGAATAGTTTTTCACAAGATAAAGAGACCTTCAATAGTTGCGTTGCTTTGACATTTCTTATGATTATTCATTATTATGTGATTTTAATAATTAACAATTTGGGAAAACTGACTTTTGTAACAAGATCATTGAAAGGTATTTTGGTTTTACTATGTTTAGATCAATCAGAAGGGATATTGATACAGTCGTTAATTTCATTATAAAATTGTCGGGTAGAGGGAATTAATGCTGATCAATTATATATAATATATTTTGATTTAACTCTTGAATTATGAAATAACTTCATCGATTAATAACCATTGATTGACGATTTAATAAATTATTTTTCGTCAATAAATTTTATTCCCTTTAAAATATTTCTTTGTTCCTCTGGAAGCACATTTACAAGACTATGCTTTGGTAGTGGGTAGTATAATTGTTGTAGCAGAGAGTAAATGGTACTCTGATTATTTGAACAGCAAGAATAATGATGAGATTTTGATTATTCTTCTACCTTTATTTATTTAATTCCTTGCAGCAATAGTTAATTAATCTTGGCTTTTGACGTCCATCATCACCATACATAATAGCATTTTAATTCATTTACATTATTTTATTTTATTTTCTTTGATTGAATTTGACGTCTGTAAAGAATAAGGACATAGGATCTCGAGTTTTTGAGCAAGGGTTGTTTTATCCCGGAATTTCTGTGACGTTAAAATTATATATCACCTACCCTTGCACTATCATACAGAACTTCAAAGGAATGTGTATAATCTTATGAAATTTTTGCTTTGTAATTTATTCAAGCTACATTTTTCATTATGATGCATAGATGATCAATTGATACTATATGGAGGATATTGAATAATTTAAAAAAAACTGAGAAACAAAAAAGTGAAAAAAAAAAAATAGACAAGACGTTATTACATCCCTGAAATTTCTTTGTGGCATAATTGTTCACTTTGTCTGGTTTTGTTGCAACACATCCCATATGCAAAATATTATGATATAAATCTTCACTACCAATTGTACATCATAAAATTGTAGTGACGGAAGAGTAACTGCCCATTAAAGCTACCAATGCTTGAATCAATCCCCAAAAAAATGGAATCCAAACTGACATTTCAAATTTACCAAAGTTGTATAAAGCTCCTAAAACAAATCCTTTTTTTTTTTTCAAATAGATAAATTATTCCTTAAATTATTCTTAAATAATAATTCTTTTAATTAATTAAATTAATTAAAAATTTTTTTTTTTCATATTTACCAACTATCGTTCCTCCTAAAAGTCCTGATAATAATGCAACTCCAATAAATCCAATCGGAAAAAGAAATGACCATCTGTTCTTATGAAATACTATCCATGCCCATATTCCTGCCGTTCCATATATCACAGTATAAAATATTATTGTCCAGATAATTGTAAATAACCGAATATCTATAATATGAATAATGGGTGTGAATAATAGATAGGATATTTATTGTTTTTTGGGGGTATTAATTAATTAATTACCATTCTGATTACATAAAAGTACTTCATCATCTGATGGCCAATATAGTGAAGGCCAAGTGATATAAAAATTTCCAATCTGCTCGCACATTGCCAAAAAAAAAATTTAAATTATTTGCATTTTTTAAAAGAAATAATAAAATCCAAAAGTACAATGTGTAATAAATAATAAATAAATAATTTCTGCCTCGGTTACACATCATATGCTGCATTTCTACCCAATCAAAATAAAGAACAGGTTCAGTTAACGTAACCGAGGTATGTGTAATGAAATGCGAGTTTTATTTACTTATCTCTTAATATACAACTTATTTCTGGAGTGAGTTATGTAAATGACCTTAATTATAAATGGAATTTTGTTTGATCATTTAACAGAATTTAAAAATGAATAAAGAATGTCCATTCCTACTATCATAATGTTACTAATATTGCCACCAATTAATTAAAAAATCATCTCTGTTCAAATTCTGCCTATTTGTTTGTGACTCTGCGATAAAAAAATCTTGAATAAATAAAATTTATTAGAATCATATCATATTTAAAGTTTTTAAAGAAAAAGAAAAATGCCTATTACTATCCAAACCTAGTTGTAAATTGATAACTTCTTTCTACACTGCAGGATATGAGCTGTCTGAAAAAGAAAGTGTGCAGGAATGAATGTGGGATATACTGCAACAAGCCAGACAAAGTGAGCAAAGATCAAAATTTAAAAATGATGCGAATGTGTTACTGAGTGCTCATTTTTAATTGTCAAATATCCTCTATATCTAGTGTAAACCAAGTAATTGATTCAAGGAATGTATGTAATCCACGTAAATTTTTATTTTTTCCTCTTTGGTTTTGTTTTCTATTTTCTTAAATGATACATAGGATTGATTTATCCTTATATAAAGTGATATTACATCACAATTCTTTTTGTTTGATGAATTACACAATTGGTTTTTAACTAATTAAACATAAATTCAAGACAATGTTTTGTGTAGAGATGTTAATCGATTAATTTTTCGTAATCGATAATCAAAATTGAAATAATTGATTATAATCAATTATGAATTGATTGACAAATCGAAAAAATCGATTTTTACATTGCAAATAGTAGTAGTAGCTTTATTTGTTTTATGCCTACGAGTTAACAACTTTTACATATTACAGTATTAATAAACTGAAAGAATCTAGGTCACATGTCTAAAACACGATTGGATGTTACTTCAATAAATTCCATGTTATTTACAACATAAATTTTAAAATTTGATTTTTTATTATTCTTTGATGGGTAAAAAATTATCAACAAATTTTTTGTTCCGTATCAAAAAAAGAATATGGTTAACAGACTGTGAGCTAGGGTTTAGACCAGTTAATTCTAGTGTTTTATTCGTAACCTTTACTTTATTATTAATTAATATAATAATAATAATAACAATAATAATAATAATAACATACGGAATTTCCGTGTGTTAAATTAAAATATTAACATGTTCTAAAAAATAAATATGGAATCAACGTGTTCATTAGGTTATGACATTTAATTTTTAAAACCAGACTTCTAAAATTAAAATTGCTTCAAATATTACTATACTACTATTATTATTACTATTGCTATTATTATTGTTATTATCATTACTACTGTTAATTTATTTAACACTTGATTTTTTTTCGATTTTTT